GAAAGAGTCACCCTGAGCTACCATCTGTTGCCAATCTTCCTCTCTCTCTCTTTTTTCTTCTTTCTCCCCAAAGCCCCGGTACATAGCTGTATATCATAGTTGTAGGTCCTTCTATTTCTCTGTGTGAGCCACTGCCACAGCATGGCTACCAAGAGACGAGTGGTGTGGTGCTGGCCTGGGAACCGAACCTGGGCCACTGAAGTGGAGCGTGCTGAGCTTTAACCACTAGGCTATCAGGGCTGGCTTGGCTTGATTATTTTTAGGAACAAAAGACTTGGGAAGAAACTTGGATCTTCCCTTCAACTGCCTGAAAGAATTTAAAACAGAAGCCTATTCCAGGAAGGAGCTGTCCTAAGATGACCATAGTGTAAGATGAACTAGGTGGGGTTGACAGGGAGGAACCTAGCAAGGCCCATTTGATCCAAGTCCTCTCCACGTCTCATTGTCTTTGCACGTTTTGGCAAACATTTGTTTACCAAGCACTTGTTTTTCCACCTCCATGTGAATTTCCTGCCTCCTCTTTGAAGTCTCAAAGCACTACCCCCAACATCCTCCTTTGTCTTTAGTTGAAGATGGTATTTACATGGTGGCTTTGGCCATTTTGGCGAGTTACTCAGTTTTCGTGGGTTTCTCCCATGTATATACATTATTAAATTTGTTGGATTTTCTTCTGTTATTCTGTCTCATGTCAATCTAATTTTTAGACCAACCGGAAGGACCTAGAAGAGTAGAGGAATATTTCTTCCTCCTCTACAGAGATCACGACAGCCAGGATGCTCTCAATGAATCTTCCTCTTTGCGTGAGCCAGTTCCAATTAAGTTTGTTTCTTGCAACCACAAGAGTCTTGATTCATGCAAACATGAAGCCAAGCCAACGCCATTGCCAAAACCGGCCATGTGACCCACTCCAGAGCCACACCTGCTCCTTCATCGCCCCACTCCCCGTGGCCTCTAGTCTGGGGTCCTCAAATGTCCACTTTCGTAATGGGTTTTTTTCCTAAGCCACCTCTGTTGCCTTGGAAGGCAGTAGGGTACGGCACTGGAATCAGTAAAACATAGGGGCCAAAGAGGAAACTCCCTGTTAAAAGGGTCCATCTGGACTTTGTTAGGGACCCCACTCCACCACTTCATCTCGTCCAGAGAGAAGAAAAGCCGCTCACAGAAGGGAAACACCCGTGCTTGTAACTGATCTTGCAGTTTATGCAACGAGGAGAACTATCCAGCCTGAGGCTTCAGGAAATGCACTGATGTCTGGGTGGGCTTCCACATCAGCCATGCCCAGTTGCTGGAAAAATTGCATTACCTGAGAAGGAAGCCCACTCCCCTCCCTGCCCCACTTCCAGCCGCCCAGGGGGATTTTAGGCAACTTGCACAAACAGCTCTGCCAGGAGGAGGTGGGGCACCTTGGTTCTGGTCTGAGCTCAGCCACTTGTGAGCTGGGTCCCCTTGGCCAGGGAACCTTTAATTCTGTGTGTGTGTTTTTATCAGTCTAATGAATCCTGGGCCCACCTATCTCAGAGTTTTGAGAGAATGAAATAAAAAAGAAATAGGAGAAAAGAGTTTTTGCCAAGTAGTAATTATAATGACAAGCATGGCTACCATTTGCTGAACATGGAAGTGTGTCAATTCTCGTATTTAATCCTCTAACACCATGCAGTGTATGTGCTATCATCTCTGTTTTAGAGATGAGCAAAGTGAGGCTCAGATATGCTACCTAGCTTGTCCTGGGATGCTCAGCTAGTAAGAGTGGGGAGTTGACTCCAGGTGTCTTCAGACTCCAAGGTTGGTGAGGCACACATTTCCCTTCCTCCAGAAGGCAATGTTCAACTGGAAGGCAGCATCGAGCTGGCTCACAAGTGTGGGTGCATGCTCTTTAAAACGACACCAGTGACTCAGAGCAAGTGGGGTTTTTATAGCTCTGGCGGGAAGAGAGGACACTGCTGTTGAATCTAGAGCTGTCTGCAGCTGCTATGCACCCTGAGGAATGGCCTAACTCACACCTCAGCAGATAGTTCTTTGTTTTGGGGGAGACTTTGGATGCTTTTGGGTTTGAAAAGGTGAAGACTCCAACTCAGGCCAAACTCCTGTTCTAGAAGGAGAAGGCAGAAGGAGGAGATGGCTGAACCGCTTTATGGAAGAAGACGAGACAATTTGGATTTTTCCTGGGCAGCCGTGAGAAAGAGGTTAACAGGCCCAGAAAAAACAAGGGCAGAGG